CGGTATTGACGAAATCCTGTAGCGGGGGAAGGGGGGGAAAATTCCAAAAATAAAATAAACTCACAACAAACCTAATATACCCTTTTTACCCTACGGGTACGGGTAAAAATAACTTGCAATTTAAAAAAAGAAACAGTAATACTTAGTTATTTTAGTTAGATTAAAAACTTTTACTTTCTTTTAACACTAAGTTGATTTATTTTTTCTCTTATATATATATTTTATTTTAAATTTTATGCAGTCTTTCACGCTGCTACTTATTTCTAATTTCTCTTCAGTTTAGCACTCATGTGTATTTGTTGATTTTGAATAATTCCAAATAAAGTGCATATTTTTCGTTAAAAAAAGTTTGTACGTATTGTTTATATTTTACTTTCAACTCTAAGTAAATTTAATTATTCTATTTTAATTTTTTTTAGAATATTATGCAGTCTTTCACGCTGTTACTATTTTCTAATTGCTCTTCAGTTTAGTATTCATGTGTATTTCTTGACTTTGAATAATTCCAAATAAAGTGCATATTTTTCGTTAAAAAAAGTTTGTACGTATTGTTTATATTTTACTTTCAACTCTAAGTAAATTTAATTATTCTATTTTAATTTTATTTTTTTAGAATAATATGAAGTCTTTCACGCTGTTACTATTTTCTAATTGCTCTTCAGTTTAGTATTCATGTGTATTTCTTGACTTTGAATAATTCCAAATAAAGTGCATATTTTTCGTTAAAAAAAGTTTGTAAGTATTGTTTATATTTTTACTTCCTTTCAGCTCTGAGTGGATTTAATTTCTCTATTAAAAATTTTGTTTTCGAATTTTAGGCAGTCTTTCATGCTGTCTAATTGCTATTCAGTTTAGTTTTTATGTGTATTTGTTGATTTAGTATATTTTTAAATAAATTACATATTTCGCGTTGAAAAGTACTAAGTTTGTAGGTATTGTTTATATTTTCAGCATTCTGCTTTGTCCGTTTTGTATTTTCCAACAAACTTTTCGTTTCGCTTTTCACGAAATGAGTAACTTTTGGGCTTTTCTCTTTCTTGCTCTGAACGATTTCAACTGTTTGTGCTGTCAGAGTGTTCTTGAATGGCTGATTTTTGGCAAGTTCATTTTTAAAGTTCCCGCTGGGCTTTTCATTTGCTGTCGCCGTTGGGTTGCTGCTGGCTTCTGTATACTATGTCAAACAGAGTGCGCTTTGGACAAACACTTTTCACCTTTTTACTTTCATTCCATGGCATGGTTGGGGACTCCCTCAATAAATCTACCATCTGCCATATCTGCTTCACTTTGTGTTTTTACAGCATCAACAAAATAACTCAAAGTGTCATCCAAACTCTTCAAGTCTATTGTGTTGCCTTTGTTATTTTTATGCTTTTGTATTGGTGCTGTTGTTGCTTTTTTCTTATCCTTACAAAACGTTTGACGTTGCAATCGTTATACGCTACACGTGTAACAGGCGGCAACAACAACAACAAAAACAACAACAACAAAAACAACAACAACAAGAATGCGTATATTTGCTTTGCTTTCAGCAAAATTGAAGCGATTGGTCCTTATGCCTATCTGCAACCTCTCACATCTCCCCCCAGCGTGCCGAGCCGTCCATGACCCTCGACAGGCACCCACACTCCCAGCCTTTACAGCCTAAGTACCATTTTTATTAGGTGTGCTTTTCTTTTCTTTCGGCACCGGCTCTCCTCACGTCTGGCTCGAGTCGACTCGACTCGACTCGACTCAAGTCGAGACTGCACGACATCTGTAAATCACTATAGCCCATATACTCGTACATACATATACATACATATATCTGTACATGTAAGTATGCATACAGATCTGAAGCAGCATGTATGTATGTTTATTTACGTATTTTATTCATGGCATTTTAGTATTTGATAACAATCTAAGCAAAATGTACGACAATGTTGGGTTTCCTTTTATTGCGTTCCCACCTTCCTGCTTGGTCCCCACTGGACCCCCAAACACACCCACGCACCTCATCGCCTTGCGCCTACGCATGCTGCTCCTGATGCATACCTTTAGGTATTCGATGCCATGCTTTCTCGTATCTCGTTGGCTGCTGCCTGGTTGCTACATCAACTTGACTGTCAATGTACCGAAGTTATTATTATAAATCATATCATGGCATGGCATTATACTCAGCACATACTATACTACGAGTATAGTTCGCATCACAACCTTTTCCTTTTCTTTTTGGTGATTTTTATACCCTGTACCCAAAGGGTACAAGGGTATATTAGTTTTGTGCGAGTGCACATGGAACACACAGAAGGAGGCTTGGTAGACCCCACAAAGTATATATATTCTTGATCAGCATGACAAGCCGAGTCGATATAGCCATGTCCGTCTGTCCGTCTGTCCGTCTGACCGTCTGTCCGTCTGTCTGTCCGTCTGTCTGTCCGTCTGTCTGTCTGTATGAACGCAAGGATCTCCGAAAGTATAAGAGCTAGAATAACCAAACTTGGTATACAGATTCTCCTGAGACCGAGAAAGGACAAGTTTGTTCATTTTTTCTGATCCAACCCCCCACTCCCCCCCTATTACCAATTTTCTATAACTCCCATAATTCTTGGAATTTTAAACTTAAATTTGGTAGTCACATTAGGTTAGTAATTATATATCCGTATACTAAGTTTCATTATGATAGAATGATCAAAAAGAAAGTTATAGCCATATAACCAGGCCCAATGCACACATACATACATATGTACAAGTACACAAACACGCATAAGGCACGATTCTGATGTAAATGTAAATGTATGTATGCATGCATGGAATATTTTATATTTAATTAGTTAATATTTAGTTAATTAATTAAATTAATTTAGTTAATTAATTAAATTAAATTAATTAATTAATTAAATTACTTTTTTGTGGGGTGGTACAGGGTATTTAAGAGTTGAGCCTGCTCGACTTTAGCATTCCTTTCTTGTTTTGTTTGCCTTCTGCAAAGACTAACAAATGCCCAGCATGTGCGATAGCCGAACCTTTTCGAGCTTATTAAAGTAACGTCAGTGTCTAGTCAAGCAAACAAATGACCATTCGGCTTTAAGTACTATTCTCATGATGTGTAAAATTTGGGTAATGCAGGCGGTTCTTTTGAAGTTAAAGAAGTGCCTGAACCTTGAACTTTACCTAACGTTTCCGTTCTTGAATGAGAAATTGTCTTAGCAAGACATGTTTTCTGATTGATCCTTGGGGGGTGTCTCACAAATTTAAAACCGGCTGTGAATAACACAAATTCAATTCCAATTCTGAAATCAAGACTCGAGTTGTGTTTGCTTCACAAAAATGCTGACTAACAAAATCAAATATTTGTCAAAGATTATAGACTTTGTTTAGCATTTTTACGGTCACGTTGTTTCTGGAAACCGTTTCAGAAAGCATTTTGTTTTATAAGCAAATAATTTTCAGAGCCTAGATGAACTTTTCACAACTACTTTTTTATACCCTGTACCCAAAGGGTACAAGGGTATATTGGTTTTGTGCGAGTGCACATGGAACACACAGAAGGAGGCTTGGCCACAAAGTATATATATTCTTGATCAGCATGACAAGCCGAGTCGATATAGCCATGTCCGTCTGTCTGTCTGTATGAACGCAAGGATCTCCGAAAGTATAAGAGCGAGAATAGCCAAACTTGGTATACAGATTCTCCTGAGACCGAGAAAGGACGAGTTTGTTCATTTTTTCTGATCCACCCCCCCACTCCCCCCCCCCTATTAACGATTTTCTATAACTCCCGTAATTCTTGGAATTTTGAACTAAAATTTGGTAGTCACATTAGGTTAGTAATTATATATCCGTATACCAAGTTTCATTATGATAGAATGATCGGAAAAGTTATAGCCATATAACCAGGCCCAATGCACACATACATACATATGTACAAGTACACAAACACGCATAAGGCACGATTCTGATGTAAATGTAAATGTATCTATGCATGCATGGAATATTTTATATTTAATTTAGTTAATTAATTAAATTAATTTAGTTAATTAATTAAATTAAATTAATTAATTAATTTAATTAAATTAATTTAATTACTTTTTTGAGGGGTGGTACAGGGTATTTAAGAGTTGAGCCTGCTCGACTTTAGCATTCCTTTCTTGTTTTAATACTTACTACTTACAAAGTTTGGCTGAATTTGTGTGCAAAAAATATAAGCAATATTGGTGATGCAGACATGAATACATATTTATTTAAGTTTTAATTCGGTTTTAATTCAGTTTTAATTCAATTTTAATTCAATTTTAATTCAGTTTCAAAGTTCAAATTTTTTTTTCTTCTGTTACTATTTTGTTATGTTTTTCAAATCAGCGGAGCTTTCTTTACTGGCAGTCGGTTTTGTCTTTTACGATCATGCACATTAAGGTTAATCAGGACGCTAATACCAACGAAGCCAATGGCGTACGCATGAGGGGGGGAGAAGGGTTGAAGGCTCTCCCAAAAAAAATTTTGCCTCAACTGAGTTGGATTTGTTGTAGTTTTTTCATTGATCATATGCATAAATTATTTTTTAAATGCATCGTGCATTATTTAATCAAAATTTTAATTTTTTGGCCCCCCTTTTGTACGCGTACGCCCTTGAACGAAGCTATAGAAATTTTCCAAATCTGTGGTGGTACTGCAGTTATTCGCCTTTTCTTCAGTGCGACAACGATTAGAAGAACCTATGATGACAAGCCACCCCCATAATTCCATGATAATATAGAATTAAAGTTCCGCTGGCTCTTAAAAATATTGGTCCATTATTTCTTGAGTTATTAGAACTAATAAATGAAGCAGCTGGACTACGGATTTTCCCAAACGCGTGCTTTGTACAAATCAGAAACCGCATTCTCTGCCACCGAAACGAACTCCTTTTGGTCCGTTATAACAACTCTTATTAGCTAGAAGATTTAATAAATTATTTCTTTTTAATGTTAATTTACTTTCTGGAGGCGTTATTAATTTGGAGATTTTGAAAGAAAACAATTTCATTGGCATTGTGTATTCGCTTGGCTTATATGCTTTTTATTTGATTTACATATGTATTTGTATATGGTATTCAAAATAGCTATAGTTTATCCATATCTCTTTGTTTTTTGTTTTTATAAACAGAAACGCTGCTCTTTAGGTATAATTGTGAAGGTTTTTCAAGTGGGCCCTTTTCAAGTTGTAGCTTCTGTTTATAAAATTACCTTATTGGCAAATATCACATAGATATTACATCTTATGCATAGCTTTATGTATACATATATATATATATATATAGTATGCTAATTACTATCAATGGCGAACATGGGCGCTATTATCTTAAATGTACATCGTAGTGGGGAGCTTAGGCTCGTTCGTCGTATATCTTTAAATTGTTTGGTATTAAGGTTCGTGCATTATAATTATGATAATCATGTGCTTAATACTAATCGTAGATTTGGCGCACTCTAATGGCAACCGTATCCTATATACATACGTAAATACATATAGACTTCAACGATAAGTTGTGAAAATTGTTGTTGTTGCGATAGTAACTCATTTTTGCATAATTTCATTAGAATACTTTTTAAAGCCCTGTTCAGATAATGAAAATAATTCATGAGATCTCGATTCGTAATTGTAGTTTCAAATTTATAGACCATTCCTTCTTGCAGGCCATGCCATGAACATATTTTATTCTCCGAACAAGGTAATACGGATTTGTGTTTTGTTTCTTCTTTTCTTTTTTTTTTGGAAGTGAAAGTGAGCTTAATATGAGATCGTTTACATACAAAAAAAAATAAATTCAAAAAAATAAAATAAACAAAAATTAATGAAACAACATCAATACAACATATAAGTATGTATAGAGAAATAGTTAATTAGTAGTTAGTTTGAGTTCGTGAACTTCTTTCCTAGACCTTGTCATCGAAGTTGGAGACGGGCCGATAGGAACGTTGCTTAGCGCGCAGTTTCCAAATGTATAGCAATGCTAGGCCCAGTAAAACGACCAAGAGTGCAATGGCAATGCGATAGTAAATCACAACGTCGGGCAGGTCGGGCGGATTGACTTCGGAGGAAGGTGGTGGGTGAATTTTTTCCGCTGACTTCATCGTCGTGCTGGACATTTTAGCGTTTAGCTCGGCCGAGGGGGAACTGGCAGTTGCTGTGGGCGTCAGAATGCTGCTTGCTTCATCTACAGGCAGCAGAGGCGGGAGCGGCAGCTCCTCATCCTCATCCTGGTCACTTCGATTGTTGGCCTCGTGGGGTGGCTTCTTGTTATTGTAATCCCCATAGCCATCATCGTAGCTGGGTTTCTCATGCGGCATGGGTTCGCCGTGGGGCCAGCAGACAGGACAGCAGGTGTCCTTGATGATAACCTGACGCTCGGTGGGACAATTGACGTTGCCACAAAACGGTATGACACACTTCTCCTCGCCCTTAACGCATTCGCACTCGTAGCAGCCATCCTTCCAGCTCATGCCATCCTGAAAATATGAGTTCAAATTCTTCGACTCGCATATGGCATTCGCTTTCTCAATACCAATGTCCTCGTCACAGCTCTGGTGACAGATGGGAGCACCCGAGGTGCAATGGCAGCGCTGGCAGTGCTGCAGCCAATAGTAGGAGGTGTCGCGCACTTCGGTGCAATTCGGTTGGGGCATACACTGGTATGTGCCACAGCATTGACCGGGCGTGTCCATCGCGTCCGGCTGCAGTTCGACCACCACCTCGCCCTCCTCCTTGTTGCAGTCTTGTATGTAACATGTCTTGCAAATGCACTTCTTGGCCAGACAGCACTGCGCAAAGACCTCCGCGGACACTTGGCTGGAGTTGAAGGCGGTCTGCGGTGTTGTGGCGATGGGTGCGGTGGTTACTGTTTTCGATTTAATCAGATCGACAGCATTGAGGTCTTCGCGCAGAGAACTGTCCTCGGGACATTGTATTTCCGACTCGGCCGGGCAGCTGATGGTATCGCATAGCTTCGGTATGAGCGGCGGCAGCTCTACTGCAAAAGGTCAAGAGTAAAGTGGAACGATTAGTGAACAGTTGGTACAGCTGGAAAAAGTGCGTTTTATTGCAGCTCAGCTGACTGTGTGAATGAGAAACAAGTAAAAAAGCTAAATTCGGGTGTCCCGACTTTGAAATACTCTGTACATATGCTTATAATAATTATAGAAATTAAAAAAAGTAAGAGAATTACAAAAAAAATTGTTGATCGATTTGACCTCTTTTGGTATTCGAACTCACATAAAGGGTGTATAATTTCACCTATACAAAGCAATTGCATCTATGTGAGTGTATGTATGTTTATGCTCGTATATTCGTGTCTGCGTAAACAGCGCTTGAGCAGCGCTGCAGCAGCAAATATATTTATGGCTATAACTTCTTGTTAAATCGCTCTATCATAGTGAAACTTGGCCTACGGACACATAATAACTAACTGTTAGAGTTAGGGAAAATCGCGATTTGCATGGGAGGGGGGTGAGGTAGGGAAATTCCAAAATACACATTTTCTGCGTATTCACATAAGGCATCTGGGACTAAAATTTGGTGTTCCTAGGTCTTATAGTCTCCGAGATATAGGCGATTATACGAATTGAAAATCGGGAAAACCCCCATAGGGGGGAAGTGGGGGGAAAATAAAAAAAGAAATAAACTTGCACAGCGTACACATATAACGCATCTTTGTGCAAAGTTTGGTGTCTCTAGCTCTTATAGTCTCTGAGATCCAGGACAGACGGCCAGACAGACAGGGCTAGATCGACTCGTCTCGTCATGCTGATCTAGAATATATATACTTTGTGGGGTCTGCCACGCCTCCTTCTGCCTGTTACATTTTCAGCTCCCGCAAACCTAATATACTCTTGTACATTTTATGTACAGAGTATAAAAAGTTTGTTTGGACAGCTTATCTCTAGACGAAATCATCAGTCTAGTAGTATGAGTCAACCACTTAAATGCAATATCATACTGCTTTCAAAAGAACTGTCGCTAAATAATACTCAGAAGCAAACGCACATTTCACCTATTTCGTCACAAATTTAAAGCACTATGGAGCAACAAGAAAGAACGCTACAGTCGATCAAGCCCGACTGTGAAATACTCTGCATCCAGACAAACTTCAGGCACTGCACAAGAAAAAAGGAGAAGAAGAGCGGACTTGATGCTGCAGCTTGCCAGAATGATAATAACTTTTCTTAGAAATGACCAATTTAGATGTAGCTTGAAAAAAACCTAAATAATGGCATATAGATTACTTGTACAAAGTTTGGTTTATATTTTGGTTTTGAAATGTGGACAGTATAGACGAAATTCTGTAGCGGGAGGAGAGGATGGAAAATCCAAGAAATAAAATATGTAAATTCGTGTAGCTTAGGGACTAAGAGCGTCTATATACCAAGTCTGGATAATGTGCACTCCTTTCTGCAATCCGTTTCCGAAATCCACGCGTTCATCCAGGCGGACAGACGGACGTACAGACGGACGGACATGTCTAGATAGATTCGTCTCGCCCTGCTGATTAAGAATATGTGTTCTTTATGGGGTCGGAGATGCTTCGTTCTGCCTGTTAAATACTTTGCACAAACCTAATATACCCTTTTTACCGGGTACAGGGTATACAAAAATTATCAACACCTAGAGACATGTAGTTTTAGCATCTATTTACATTGCGATTGTGTCGATGTGCGTCTGTACAGGATGAGTCAAACGCAGTGTTGCCAACTTTTTAGAAGAAACAAGAAAGGAATGCTAAAGTCGAGCAGGCTCAACTCTTAAATACCCTGTACCACCCCACAAAAAAGTAATTAAATTAATTAATTTAATTAATTAACTAAATTAATTTAATTAATTAACTAAATTATATATAAAATATTCCATGCATGCATACATACATTTACATTTACATCAGAATCGTGCCTTATGCGTGTTTGTGTACTTGTACATATGTATGTATGTGTGCATTGGGCCTGGTTATATGGCTATAACTTTCTTTCCGATCATTCTATCATAATGAGACTTGGTATACGGTTATATAGTAACTAACCTAATGTGACTACCAAATTTTAGTTCAAAATTCCAAGAATTACGGGAGTTATAGAAAATCGTTAATAGGGGGGGAGTGGGGGGGTGGATCAGAAAAAATGAACAAACTCGTCCTTTCTCGGTCTCAGGAGAATCTGTATACCAAGTTTGGTTATTCTAGCTCTTATACTTTCGGAGATCCTTGCGTTCATACAGACAGACAGACGGACAGACAGACGGACAGACGGACATGGCTATATCGACTCGGCTTGTCATGTTGATCAAGAATATATATACTTTGTGGGGTCTACCAAGCCTCCTTCTGTGTGTTCCATGTGCACTCGCACAAAACTAATATACCCTTGTACCCTTTGGGTACAGGGTATAAAAAAAAACTGTTTTTGATGGAAGGAGAGTGCAATAAAGCTAAACATTTTTGCAAAAAGCGTAATAAAAAGTTAAATTTATTTTGCAAGAAATGCTTAAAAAATGTATTTTCCACGGTTTTTTTTATCGACCGGCATTATATACATACATAATTAGTACATAAGTCACTTTTTGTATAAAAAAAGCTCAATAAACCATCATCATTAACCACATACAAGTATAAGCTTCGTTTCTACTTTTTTTTACAATGTATTTTTAAAAAGCCAGAATTCCCGCTTCCCGCAATTTGGAATATTTTCCCGCAATCTCAGTTCAAAAGCAACCAGATTTGACGGGGAAAAAAGCCAAATTGAGCGGGTGCATCAGAAAAAGTTCAATTTTGTAATTTCTCGAGTAAGGTTATTCTAGCTCGGCTGACTCGCCTTGGCATCCCGATCAAGTATACTACGCTTCTTTCTGTTAGTTACATATGTACAAAACTAGTACCCCCTAATTCTGTTTTTACACGGTAGATTGGTTCCAGAAAAAGACATTGATCATATGCAAAAAAAGTGGATTGTTCCTTATCTCTAAAGAAATATATATAACATTTTTAATTTTCAAACCGTGTTATATCAAAATCGTGTAAAAAAAGATCGTGTAACATAGATCGTGTAAAAACAGAATTAGCTGTACACCTAATTCTTCAACTTGATTTCTGTTTGAACGTAATGGGAACTCATTTGGCAATTCTATCAAATTCTATTAAATTCTATTCCAATCTGATTCGAGAAAACTAAAGTTGTGTGTTGTTTCATTTTTCTCTGAGTGTATTGTTATCCAATTAAGAAAAGCTGGCTTATTTTAATATGTTACTAAGAGCATTTATTAACAGTGTTTGTAATTTTGTAGAAGCTGAATAATTTTTAAATAGCTGCATATCTAAAGTAGAGAATTTTCGCCAAAAAAATTTGTATTCTCAGCTTATTTCTCTTAAGTACCTTAATATGTATAGTATGTATGTATAAGTGCTCCTATAGTATGTATAGTATATACTCGTACATACAAAGACTCGAATATACACGCACACGCACACTTGTAAAAGTCGTCGTATTATTAAAAAAGTTTTCACTTTAAAGAGTTTTCCCTTCTTCTTTGTAGTATGCAACATAAAATGCAAAGCACTCAAACGCGTCTGTATGTATGTGCGAATATGTATGTATGTATGTATGTATGTATGTATGCTTATGTGCGAGTGTGTGTGTGTTCTTTGGCTTTTATGAAAACTTTCAACGGCTGTTTATAAGTTTCAATCCTGGCAGAATAGCATGCAGATATACACATTATATGTACATATATTTACAGTAACTTGCTATATGTATATATACTTGTATTTACTATGTATGTATGTATACTATATATGTACATGAATTGTACCAATGTTATTGCATTCGTTGCTCGGCTTTGGCTGCTTGTTGGTGTCATTCTTGTATCCCTGAATGGTGGCAAATGGTAGGATTAGGTGAGGTGGAGGGCCATGGACTAGTAGGAGCTAGGTGTGTAAGGTTTTTTGTTCTACTCGTATCTAGGTTAGGTGTGCGAATGCGTTGCAGTGCGTCTAATTTATCAACATGGTGAAAGGAAAGCTATTTAAATTGGATTTCTCACACACCCTCATTATACGTATAAATCTTTGTTTGACTCGAGTCGAGTCGAGTCGACTCGGTTTGGTTTGGTTCGGTACGCGCTTAACTTCAAAGCCAAAGCCAACAGCTCACAATACAACTACAAGTGGCACACAACTGTCCCAAATGTCGCTGATAAGCGAGCGGGGCGACCGACAAAAAAACTTTAATTAAATAAATTGTAGGAACTTTGTGCGCTTGCGAAAGCGTGCGACAACCCGTGGAGCCAGAGTTGGGGCCATCTGGCGAATGGAGGAGACTGGAGACTGGCAACCGACAAGCGGCAGCCGACAGAATCAGCAGTCGACAGCAAATTGTACTTCAAAGTGCCCTAAAGTTTAGTTTTTAGTACGAGTCTTGCTCCTTAAACTTGCGCCCCACAAAATCAAGGAGATTGCTGCGCCAGATATGTATTTACTTTGCCCGGCTAAACTCAAACGGGCGAGACTTCATTGTTTACTTAGCCACTGCCACTGCCAGTGCGTCGCTGTTTTTCCCAAATTTCCCATTATATATGAGCAGACAAATTAACTTGAACTTGAAGAACCAAAAACTAACTTTGTATCCCACTGATTGGCATACGAAATTAGAGCGCAGCGAAGATTAATAAGAGTCTTGAGTTGATTGGACAGCGTTTGAAGTTCATTTAAGTGCCAGACAATGGCAACGAATAACAGGGACAGAACCGATGGCTAAGAGATACGAGCAAGTAAAAAGTTCCCCTAAGGGTGGGCGCATATTTTTTGTAAATATGTTTTTAAAATTACGCTCGCAAATTTTTGCTTTATGGGATTATCAATTAATTAAAAGAAGTCGAAACCGACTAAAGCAGAATACAGGTGTCGCTTGGAAAACGGTCAGACATTTGAAAAGATTCCTTGAGATTGAGGAGCATTTCATATCCAACTATGTGTTTCTAATCACAATAAAAATGCTTTGAGATTATGCATAGATTTTTTTTTTTTTTGGTAAACACTAGCAGATGCTACAAAAAACTCATTACACATTTTAGAGTTTCCTTTCTTCAAGTCGTTATATTCAGCATATACATATAAGTGCAGTACATACTCTTCTTTTATGGACGCTAACCTTAACCACCATTCTCTTATTGATTATTTGAAGGCCTACATGATGTTATAGTCGAGTAGAATCTATTATAAGTTCAACGCTATGTTCAGGTCTTATCGCAGCATCATATGACTGATTGGACATTGTTCCCTTTAAATTAACACATTTCAATTATGTATGTAGCCTAATAAGTTTGCTTATCAACAACATAATTCACATATTTCGACAGCTCAAGTACGCCTCTATTGTTATCTGTATTGCTTGTTAGCCGACACGTCCCCTTCTCCAATCTGATTGAAGAAACTATACAGAAATAAATCACGTACAAAAGCAAACAGAATTATCTATGTATGTACATAAAAAGTATAAGTATTGATCTTTTTGGAGCACAAAACTTTTTATATTTGTTGTTTGTTTTAATTTAATTACAAAAATAGTAGTTCTGTGTAAGTTTTATATTCCAAAGCGGTTCACATATTGCGAAACAGGAGATTCAACATTAATAAACCTAATAGACATTTCGTCAGACTTTAAATTGCATATCGCCTAAATTTTGATAACTCTATGATAACTCTATGTATGTAGTTATAAGATATTGTATGAAATTTCAAAAATCTTCAAAATTTGATGAGGTATTATAAAGATTAAAGTTTAGACATTTAGACTTATTGGTAAACCCTTTAACCTTCCTGGTGTAGGGTATAATTATAGAACCTAGAATGTTCTCCTATGTTTATTACTTCATTTCACAGAATCTACAGATACATTTTCTTAAGAGACATATCTCAGTTTAGCAGGTATCTAGAATGTTATATATAAAACGTAGGGGCTTTGGAGGTCAAGAGTGACCAGACCTTTAGCCATTTTATGGCAATCTGTTTAATGGCTTTGAAGGTCACAGTAAAATGGATGTGGGCGTTACCATGAAATTCAATTCACTGGCAGGTCAACGGTTTATTTAGAACCATTTAGTAGCTTGGCAGCCTGTAAAGCCGATAATCCTTTTTAAAATGGTGCGCTTGCATTTCTGTGACTCGACAAGGAAAAGACGACGAATTATTAAAGCGGTGCTCAGTGCTTTCGTTTTTATGACCAACTTGTTTGGTCTTCTGGACAGTACTGCGCCCTTTCCAAAAAACTTGGGGCATCTCAGCCGATGTAGACGCATCTACGGCTATCTGATATTCGGACTTTTCATCTGTTGCTCGCCTTATACCTTGTACCATATCGCCAAGCGCCTATCCATTCTAACCGACTCCAATTTCCTATTTGTTGTTAGGTTCGGGCGATATGTGGTGCTTCACTTTTGCGTTTTATTGACGCTCTTTATGCATAGGATTAGGCAAAAACAATTAATTGCAAACATTAATTTAATTATACGGTGTTTTAAACAGCTTAGCCGTTTGCAGCACACGCAGCAGCTGCGTGAGGAGACCGAACGGCAGCTATACAGTGCCAGACATTTAATGTACATCGTGACTGTGTTTTCATTTAACTTTATCTCTGCGAGCTGGCAGATTTATTTGCTATTCCATGATCCTGTAGTGACTCAGAGTGTGGCTAATGTGTTCTGCGCAATCTTCGTGATCTGCTGTATGTTGGTCTTGCAATTGGCTATCTCCTTATATATATTTGGCATGATGATGGTCATTCATCTGATCTATCACAGCAATCTGCTCTTGGGCCATATCCTAGAGGATGCTACACGAATTCAGGGGCGCATGCACTGGCTTGGCCCACTAAGACTATACGATGGGCAGCAACAGCTACTCTCTTTGGAGATATGGCGAGTGATGGGTCTTCAATGGCGTCTCTTGAAGCTGAGCTGCCGCCTCGTCAGACTGCATGGAGTGCAAATTTGTTGCTTTTGCAGCGTTGTGCCCGTCGAATGCATGGTGCACACATTTTTCACCTACTACGTACTTTACTATCATTCATTAACGTCTAGGACCGTGCCTACAGTCCTAGCAGTCCTTATTAAGCTGATGGCTCTGCTTCAGCATCTGTGGATTACAATTTGTTTTACGCATCGTCTGCGGGATTGCTTTAAAGAGACCCGCTCAGTACTAGGGGAGGGGGTTGCGAAACTTCGTCCCGAGCACACCAATAAAGCCCTGAACTCCACTGTAAGTAGCGTGTCTCTGAGATTTGATCGATATTTAATCATCGCTACTCTACATATAGCTCATATATTTTGGACTTCAGTCGCAGAAAATGGAGCTGATTTGTACTACCAGTGCATGCGGATTCTTCAATTTGGACAATCCGCTCTTGCTGGCCATATTGCAGGGTATACTACTGAATATAATCATACTCATACAAGTTGATAAAATTACGCATAAGTAATTGGTATACTCTTTATAATCTAATGAATATTTTTGCAAAATTATCCATATCCATATCTATATTCTTATAAGCTATCGCTGAGCGTGCTTAGTTAATTGTTAATAAATAAATTATATGATGCAAAACAATTCGAAAACCTAAAAATCGTAGAGAGTGGTCTAGAAAAATGTACTTGTGTTACGAAATATTTGTGACGCGATAATATTATTTACAAATTCTATTTAAATATTGATAAATTATCAAATTTAAGTACATGGAGAAAGTTTTGTGACGTGTTGGTGCTAATCGTTTGCTGAGCAAATCAATTATTTAACGAGTATAAATAAATTTGGAACTGTTCAGGTATTGGCAGATAAAGTAAAGACTGAATTGATAAGCTGAGGTTGAGTCAGGGTTCCCCCGACAACCAATGTGAAGAAGAACTGAACATATCTCCACTGTGTCGGAAAACTTTTTTGTACCCGGTGTGAATCAACATATGGTTCTTTAAAGTGTTGCGATATTGGTTTTTATTCTCTGATTTTAAAACACTCGAATTCCCAATCGAGAGGTAAGGGTATGAAAAAAATCATAACGTCAATATTAAGGAACTATTTTTGAAACATAATTCTTGAATGAGCACCAGAACTCTTCTTAATAATAAATAGTTCAGAATTATCACAAATAGGAGTATAATGATTTTCTAAGGCGAGAACATCTTCAGTGGGAAGAAGTGTTTTAAACTGGTGGATAATTTCTGTGACAGCTTTATGGCTATAGCTATCCGATCTGGCTTATAAGACAAATGCCTTACACTTCTTAAAATATATCATTTTGTATATAAAGGACCATTTTAATGAATGCTTCGAAAATTTTATCAAATTACTGAATTAAGTAGATTCAGCAAATAGCTGTATTGAGATTGCTCTGCATACTATATCACCATAAATAATACATCACCCTTTCCAATCGAATAATTAATTAAGGCAGACAATTGCCATACCGACTGGTTAGCAATTCCGCAACAACATTTTCTAAGTTTCTATCGATATCTTCAAGGTTACCCAGCGGCAAAATTTAGATTCAAACATACATTTGTCAGCTCTACATACTATTCGCGCTCATTGAAGATGTGATTAATGATTGCTGTCGCATCCAAATGCAAACGATGCAAAAGTTATTGTCATAAATTGAAACGAGTATAACGATCAAGTCACTCGAGCACGACTCTTCTATGCCCTGTACCCGATCAGTTTCCCATAGCCTTTAACCTGAACTAAATCAATCCTTCACCTTATAACAACTATATATATATTATAAAGATACCCAGAATTAAGTACGAAGAGTAGTTTCAATACAGATATTTCCTGTTGTTTGTAATATCTATGATCTGTAATGTCCCTAGCTGCAATAAATCAACAGTTTTCGATTGTCATATATGTATATAGTCGGCAACATAAGTTCTACCTTTCAGTATACCCTTTTTCTGCAGGTTATAAAAATGCTAATTCCAAATTCAAAGCGCCAATTTTTTTATTCTATTTTTATTACGTGTTTTTAAATTGGAAACAGAACAATTCTCGGACCTGTTTATGAATGAAATAAAAATCGCAACAAAGATGTGTCTCTGTAGCCGTTGCATAGATTTCTTTGAAAAACCATTTGAAATAAACCGAATATTTGAAAGGCACCCAAGAAACGCAATAAGCGATCATAAATCTAATCAAATGTTCAAAATTATGGTATTTTAATTTTAGAACATATTTAATAGACTTGCTGGCATAGTTGAAGAAGAATGCTGAGAATCTGTTGCCATCGTTACACAAATAAAATACGAAAATTTCAAACAATTTACGATATTGGTTGTATAGGTTTTTAAAATAGACGTTCTTAATAGATCGCACCTGCCCATACGAGTACATAAACAATCATTATGCATACTCGTAAATATGTATCTTTTACAAGCTGCAATAAAGTGCGTTCCGTATATACTTGTACAGCTTAAATTATCTGTGATCGCATCATTTAGCAAATATTTGCATTTCGGTACTTACTTGTCGTTGCGCTGACGATTTGCAGTGGGAATGAGGCAAATATTAATATTAGCATCGGTGGATATGTTAGCATGCCGTTCGAGCACCTTGTCTTGTGCAAGCTTAACATTTTGTCTTATGGCTTCTGGTGGTATATACTGATACAGCGTATATGGCTATACTCGTATATATATATATACAGATGTATACACGTATATATTATATAGTAATAGTGCTTGCAACGTGCCCGATAACGAGTCAGCAACCGATATGACCTTGGAGTGTGGACCAGCAGACGATGTTACTTGGCATGAATTTCTTACGAACTTCTGGCGCTGTTGTTGTCTCTTTTGGAGCTGTGCTTTTTATGGGCGCTCGTTAGAAATTTTTCAAATCAAAATCAATTGAATTTATAAGACTGCCTGTTAAATGTTGAAGTCGTCTGCAAAGAGACCAAAGTATAGAAAATGTGTCAAATGTTATTATTTTGTGTTATTTATTTCGACTGTGGTTCGATGTTCGCATATTTGTTCAACAAGCCACAATCTATGTTTATAATGGCCCATACAATCAAATACAAGTACAAACACACACACACACACACACACATACACATGGCAACTAGTACATATATTTAATTTAATTGCATTGCAAAACAAAGCAGTAAACACACAGACGCTTTAGTCGCCACCGCTGATCATTCAGTCGGTGGCTGTTTGACGCTCGTTGTATCATTGCTAAAAATAGCAGAATATATATTTTTTGTTTCGGTTTTAGTGGCCAGGCGAGAGCATTTCACTGCTGCTGAGCAGATACGCACCCGTCTAACTACAATATACTATACTCGTACTTGTATACAAAAAAAAAGTAGCAGAAAAATAAATAAAATGTTTGTGCGCGGCTTATTTCACAGCTGATAAAGACCTAAAAAATGCGACTACACGCTTCATTTGAGTTCGAGTTTTGGGGGTCACACAATGTTTGTACATACATACCTATGTACCTACTATACATACTTACAAACTCCGCATACTATAGTATAGTAGATAAAGTGCGTAATTAGTTACTGTTAGTTTATTTGTCCTAGGCAGGAATTGATGGCAATAATTCAATTGCCAGAACAATTCAAGCAAAGTGTTATTAATCACTTTATTTTTGGCGCTATCTTAATTGGTCTCTCGGGTGCAGCAACTTGTAATTTCATGAGGTGCTAAAATAATTAATTATTTTGATAAAGATGCTCACTCCACGTAAATCCCTGCTGCTAACTGGAAATAATTTTATTCGAGTGCCTCAAGCTCTATCTCATTTTAGATTAAGTGCAAAATTTATAATCATGTAAGTGTGTAAGTGCGAGCAGAAGTCGTTTCTTTAGATTTTGCAAATATGTGCCCATCTCTTTATAATCTATATATGAGTGCATACAGACATACATATATTAAGTATATAAAGTGGTAAACAGAGCCAAGAAAGGTTAATAATCCCACACAGTACATTCTTACACACACACACACACACACATGCATAATACTTATACAGATGTATAGTATCTATCGTTTGTCTTGCGACGGAGCTCGCTATTTAATAGCTGAATAAGAAATTTCAGAGATGCCATTGTACGTACATATACATACATATATTTAACAATCATAAAAATTTTATCGAGGAAACAATATTTTTTCGCATTTCGTTCCAGCGAATTCTTTTACGGGCTATTCTTGATGTAAACAGAATTTAGTGCTTTTTCAATTTAACAAATTTATTCGCATAAACCCAAATGAAGAAATTGTTGTGAATGAATTTATTTGTTTCTATGGAAATGAAGAGCATGCGATATCGCGAGCAGAGTCTCGTAATATTTCAATGATTTAAAAATTCTTTTCAAGCAGCAGGTAGGTTTTTCTAAGGTTTTTAGTCAAGTGGAATCGACGATCTGCATAATTGTCTGGCTTGGAAAATTGGAAAATTTCGTGAAGTTAAACATTTTTTGTTTAACAAACTCTTCTTTTTTACAAATATTTTTTGGTTGTTTTGAAAAGCGTTCATTTTTCTGCTAATACTTTCAACCCATCCTTTTTATTTATATGCTAGAATTTTAGAAACAGAAGGTAGAAAGATATTTCGGACTGCTATTACTTATCGTATTCGATTGTATGGAAAAACAAGGCTTAAAGTATCCAGTTCTTTTTACTAATGCTAAGTAATTGAGATTTTCCAAAGAGGTCCATATTTTTCAGATAATTATTAAGATTATTATTTATTTAGAATAAATTAATTTAAAAAGCCGTTCAATTAAAAGTTTTCCACCATCGGTTTGAAAATGTTCTGTGTTTTGCATGTGCAGTTTCTTTTCTTCTTACTTAGGTTTTATTTCTTTAGTGATGCGTTATATAGTATAGTAAGTGCAATAAAATGTGCAGGAGATTTTTTTTTATGTTTCAATCTTTCTTGACCACCAACACGTATGTATATATTTGTCGACTTTGGAGGTTGAAAATCATTGAAGATCTCTTGAAAACATTTTGTCAGTTGTAGGTGAAAGGGCAGTCTCTGAATGACTTCTAAAATCATTGAATTCCATATTTGCAGGCTATTTTATCTAAAAATGTTGTCTCTGCTCTCTGCCATTGACAAATTTGTATTTCCCCTCAACTCTCTCTGCCTTTTAAGAATAAGTATATTTACACTGTGATCTCTAAACCGTTTGGCGGGCAGTTTATGTTTTTTTTTTTCAGCTATGGTCTTATCTTATCTTCAAAGCTTTGCGTTGGTGTTTCTATAATATATACAAACTTATGAGCATATACATATATAGATGTACATATATACCTACTCGAATATAAATATATATGTGCACTTATGTACATACATATGTACTCGTATGTGGGTAACCCATCTATTTGCTTGATAGTTTCTTGTGAATCGTACACCGATTGGTAGGTGTACTTATAAGCTCCCCCTGGCATTTGCGGCAACATACATATGTACATATATGTATGTATATACATGTACATATGTATGTGTGTGTGTTTGCTTGCGTATGTATACATGAGCACCTCTCTGTGCATATTTGTGTAGATGACTAAATTGTGATAGCTACGCTTACTTTTGTTGTCGTCGACTTTTGCTGCTCGAGCGGCGTATGTTTGTCTGTTAAGACCAACAACAACGACAGCGACAACAGAAAAAGTAACAGCAACAGTAATAGCAACAACAACAACGGCAACAGCAACAATAACGGCGATCAGAAAACATAATGGGGGTTTCGTAGCTTTGGCGGCTTCAGCGACAACAACGATAAGTACTCAGCCATCTAGCTGCTTAAACTGTTGATGTTGTTGTTGCTGTTGCTGCTATTGTTGCTGTTGCTGTTGCTGCCGCTGCCAATGCTAACTGTAAGTTTTACCTCGAAAGCAAGATAAGCTTTATTATTTGCCATAAATTTCACTTGAATGCGAAATCTGATGCATCTATTCCATGCCTTTTTATTATTTATCTTGGAGTCGGGGGTCGGGGCTAAGCATGCAAAACGTCGTTGTTGTTATTGTTGTTGTTGTCGGCGCAGCCGTTGCCATCGACATCGCATGTGTGTACATAAATACTTATGCATACCTCCGTACTCGTACACACACACACACACACACACATACACACATACATACATATATACATAAGTATAAGCCAAGGTATGAGTGTGCGTGTATGTGTATTTACTCGTGTTCGCGTACAATAATTTCACGTTCAACAACTTTTGGCTTTTTTGATGAGCCAGCAGCAGCGGCAACAGCAGCCGCACTTGAAAGGGGCGGACGGTCGACGTTGTCGGCGGCGGTGGCGGCGGCGACGGCGATGACGCACAGTGGCTCAATCCACTGATATAGCAAAGAAAACCTATTAACGGCTTAGCTTGAATCCGAACTTAAGAATCCTTTAGCTTCAGAATCCTCAGTAAGGTATTCATTCATATAGCTCTGTGACAATTTCATTTTATATTAAGTAAATCGTCGACGGCAATGACCCACAGTCGCCAATTCGTCAATTAATAAATTGTTTGATTGGAAAATTCGTGAGACTTAGATATTTCTATGCTAAGTTGTGGCTTGGCAAGATATTACTGGAGTCTTCGTTTAAATCTTTTTAAAAGGCAAAACCTGACAGCAATAAAAAAAATTAAATTTAAACATCTCAGTTTGATAAATTCTTGAAATTAAGACATTTTTGAGTTTACAACCATTAAAAATATTGCGAAAATATTATTGCATGATTTTTTAATATTTAAATGTATTTTAAAACTGTTAATTATTGACCAAATATTAAAGAGGCTGAAAGAAGTCGGTAAACATGTTTCACTACCCTAAGCTAATCAACTATTAGATTAATTTTCACAGAACTGATAATATGTGGTTAATTTACGAAGAATGCTTCGATTTCGATTGCTTCTATGTGGGCTCAAATAGAACATAGATTAAATAATTAATGATATAAATTAGCACTACTTTAAAAAGAAACATTGATCTACGTTATTTAAATTTGGATTTCGGTTTGTTAATTTTTTGTGCGTTTTTATTATTTGGTTAGCTCTGACGAAAACTCATTAAAGGCCCAGCTGTTGAGAAATATGTACTTTTTATAGGTTTCTAAAATGTGGAAATATGGTGAATGGCCGTGATAGGCAAGCACTGAACGCTGAAGTATTTCTCTGCGATATTTGATGCCAGCCCTTATGTTTGAATCACTTCTTAAAAGTATACAACCATATATGTGCAGAAAACAATAAAAACAAGTTCGCTGGCTCTGCTATTTGAATACAACTATTAAATTGACACTCAAATATTACTCTGCGTTATTTTAATGACGAAACTCAATTTTGTTTTTAATATGATACTGCAAAGACAACAATGGAAAAAAAAAACTTGCCAGCTCGATATTTGAGTTCTCATTGACATAAACTTTTATGCATTGGAATGGAAATGGAACATTTTCTGCACAATACCACTGCATGCTGCTCAAGTAAGGGACGCAAAATGAAAGCGGAACGTGTGAATCATAGACAACATAATCTGTCAGTCTTTACATAGTAATTGTTTACATTTTGAGTGCGTTCTCTGTTAAGCCCTAACACAGGGCCTGTTATTAACATGCTGGTGTAGATGGTACTGCGTAAAGTAATTAGAAACTTCAACTTTAAATTGTCTACAGAGAAACTTCCTAAATGGGTTACATTTTTGTTTTGGACTATTAATTAAGATGAGTATGAATGTTTCCAGTTGAATTTGGAGGCGTAAAAAGAATGGGAACGAGCCACTGTGCGCGATTTGTTGCTATAACTACCCAGAGCCCTGACTATCACCACCAGCGCAGAGAAAAAGCTCGTCATCTCTTTTGCACACATTGCAGCGAAGCTTGGGGCTTCTGACTCCGGTCTGTGGTGGTCGGTCGGTCGGTTGGTTGGCCGGCTTTCTGGCTGGCCTGGTCGACGGCTTGGCTGGTCGGCTTGGTCGGCTCGTTTATGTTGTGTGCTTTGCTCTGGTTTTTCGGTTTTTAGCCGCCTTCAAATTACTCTGTTTTGTTTGTGTGTGTGTGTGTGTGTGTGAGGCTCTGTGTATGTGTGTTAGTATATTTTTGCATGGGGTTTTAAAGCTGGGCCTGAAGCGGCAACGTCTCTTTAAGTTTACTTGCTGCTGCGGTGCTGTTCGTTTCACGCTTAATAGTTTTTAAGGCCTATGCGTACTTTCATTAATGCTGTTACATACCCGCCCCCTTGAGCCATCGACCGATCGACCGACCGACCGACCGACCGTCCGACCTCCCCATTAAACTATTTTAAACACTGCGCGCGTTGCTTTTTATTTGCTTCCACCTTTTTTCATTTGCGCATGCGATGTCTGTTTGTATACACATATGTATGTACATTTGTGTGTGTGTGTGTGCATGTCTGTATTTATGATCGAACGCTGTCGCTTTGCGCTTTTAACCTTGATTTTTGTGTAAACAAAATACACAAAAAACATATGTACAACATTTGACCAAAAAAGCTTTCTGCGCGCGGCATTTAGTTAAGTTGTTGTTGCTGTTGTTGCTCTTGTTGTTGTGTGTGCGTGCGGTTTTTGTTTAGTTTTTAGTTTACTGTACATTTATTGAGTTACCTATTTATAATTTGTTTATTATTTAGCAAAACGTTGTGAATAATGTGCCAGGAAATGTGTGCAAACATTTGCTTAAAGATAAAATGCGCACAAGCACATATATACACACATACATCCATGCATAGGAATAATAGTATCTGGTATCGGCGGTAACTCTAGCGGCCACAAAACTATTGAGCTCTTTTCAAAGTACCACATACAAACATACGCACGTATGTACATATGTACATACATACATAGATAAATAAACAACCTCGGAAATATTTTCTATACTGGTATGTTGAAGCTAGTTATGTATGAACTATTAGATACGCTATCTTATCTAAACATACACTCATACACACATATATAGCTGCAGATATGTCTTATGTATGTATGTATGTATATATTTCAGCCGACATGTCGTTATGTGTGACGGCTTTAAAAAGCTGCGTGTTGTTACTGCTTTTGCTCGTATAGCAAAATTTCGCTTATATAATCAAAATCACAAATGCGAAACCTAAACACATACTATGCGTACGCACACACACACACACACACACACACATATATTTCTATGTTATGCGCAATTTTATTGAATCGTGCAACACTTTGATTTGCGCTCAATGTGGCACACACACGCACACACACATACGCACGCACATATTGATGTTATAGAGACATACATACATACATATAAAGGTATATAGCCATATGTACACTTACCTGTATATATTTATTGGGTTTGTTTGATGCGGAATGCGCTCGATGTGCTACACACCTGCCACGTAAATTTTATAAGCTCTACAACATAAATTTGCGTTGCTTGTTGTCGTTGTTGTTGTTGTTGTTGTTGTTGCTGTTGTTGCCGATGCCGCTTGTGCTGCTGCCGTTGCTGTTCATCGTCTTCTGTTGTTCACTTCTTCGCCATACACACACATACGCACACGCACACACACACACACACACGTTCACAATCCGACACTTAGTTATGTTACGTTTTAACGCGTTTTTCTTACTGTTGCTGTTATTGCTGTTGGCTCGTTAATTGTTAAATTAAATTAATTTTCCATAATTTTTCATATCACTTATGCGATGTGTGCACGATATTTTCAATTTTATTATTTAGGCAGCCTGCGTCTTCGCTGATCGAATTGAAAAGCTTAACTGAGACATCCAGAGTTAGAGACAGCGCCAACGTAAACTCGTGACGGCGACAGCGACGACGACGACGGCAACGATCGTTACTCTCTGCAGCGTCGCTGTTGCCGCTAATGTCGACGTCTCTGTTGTTATACTCTGTAGCCGCAGTGTGGAAAGAGCATATTAGGTATTTGCAAATGTACGTGACAGACGAAAGCATATAGACGCCATCAATAATACAAATATTCTATTAGCCAACTTCATTTCGGAAACGGCCAAGTCAATATTAGATCAATTTTATCTGTATCTTCTTCCAATTCCTAGACAATAAAGTCCACTAAATTGTCTAGTTATTTGCTCTTACTCCAAATTCATTCAAGTCCCTTGACACAAGTCAACAGCTGCTATTTGTTTTCTAATTCCTTGAGTTTTTCTGGGTGTAGAGTATTTTGTAGTTGGCTTTGATCGCCTGTAATATTTTCTCTGTTCCTTACTCCTACTTCGAATTCATCCTAGTCGCTTGACACAAGTCAACAACTGATATTTGTTTACTAATGCCTTGAGTTTTTCTGGGTGTAGAGCATTTTGAAGTTGGCTTTAATCGCCTGTAATATTCTCTCTGGCTTTCATTTCGCTCTTCAATTTTGTGGCTGGCTGGCGTCGTTGACAACCGGCTAGCCTGTTAGTAGTAGTAGTTAGCCGGTGTTAACAACGCGTGCTCTTTTAGTCGACTGCGCTCTCTTTTTTCTCGCTTGTTACTTAAGCTTTTAAGTAAGCTTTTTTGCGCGAAAATGTTTAGCGATTTGTGCGAACGTCAGCGTGTTTCTTTTTATTTATCAGGCCTGTTCTCGATTCCGATTACTTTTCAAATTGTAAGCGATTCCAATTTGTTTTAAGTGTGACGTTTCTATAGTTGATTTAAATTCGATAATACTTGTAGCTTTTTTAACACGTGAATGATCGCAAAATAAAGTACATTTAGTGCTTTATGATAGAATTCGAAGCTGGCTTGTGAAATTTTAATTATCCCAAAATAAAGTACACTTAGTGGTTTGAGAAATTTTAATGAACATTGCGAATACGTCGATCGGAATCGGAAGCGCGCACACGCCTGTTTGTAATTAAGCTGAAATATTGTCGAAAATGTGGAATTTTGTGCAAAAGTTAGCATTGCAATGTGCATAGGTATTGGTATTGGTATTGGTATGGGCTCGTCTGCGTCGTGCATCGTCACAGGTTCATGCACTCGTCACGTGCATGCTGCGGCAATCAACAATCGATCACTTATGTAAATACTCGTACAGTTGCAAAGAGATCGTTGCCTTTTTGCATTTGTATCCAGGCCAAGGCGTGCGTGAAATGCAAATGTAAGTGCAAATCATGGAAACATGACAACACCCTCAATCCGCAATGCGATCACTGTGCGGATTAAAATTGTGGCACAAAACCAGTGGCAACTGCATTGCACTGCTGACTAAGACAAATGACTAAGCGACATGATTACACATATAAATGGTTTGGCAATGGCTAAACGATTACTGCCAACTAGAAATGAGCTCTCAAATGGTTCACATAAACTGTCGTCCACAGCAGCTCAGATAACAACAGCAAAGAGGCAGCTAAATTCGTCTAATAAAATAAAAATAACGCACCAACTCTGTAGCCGAAATGAGCAACAATAACGACAACAACAACAATAACAACAACAACAATCGCACATTGATTTCACTTTAACGAGCTTGTAATGTCTAATGTCTTTTGAGCTGCTGCCTCAAAGCAAAAGTATATAAACACATTGTGTATACGACATGTGTGCCTTTCTCGGTGCGTGCATGTATGAGTGAAAAGTTTCTTTGCTGCGCCGCGCTTGCTGTCACATCTTAATAGGATAATAACGAGCCCAAGACCGAGCCTGATTCGCAATCGCATCCAAGGCAACTGAAAGTTGTTGCGCCTGCAACTCCAAAAGTATATGTATGTGTGTGTGTGCGTGCCAACAATAACGATGATAAGGGGCAAAAGAACGTGTCGACTTGGTCGCCATCATTACCCAAGTCTACTTAGCCGTTTGTCCAACAAACAAACAAACAAAACAGCAACAAAAATATATAAAACGTTGAGTAACTGATAAGCAAACGACTTGCGGCGAAGTACGAGTACGTCTAAGCTTCAGGAGTTGGGGACTGGGCCCTAACGGCACTTTATATAGCTATGGGGATGTGATGTGGGGTGCTCTTGGATGGGCAGCAGCGTGTAGCTGTCAAATAACTATTTATTAACTTGAATGCTGAGCCAAGATTGCGTCATGGATTCTTTTACAAAGTAAACAAACTAAGTTTGATGAGAGACCATATCGATTGCCGGTTGGGATATGACGGCGGCACAGCATTAACATTAACATCGACAACGGCGTGGTCTTGCAAATATACATTCATACATACATACATACGAGTATATACAGTGTGTGCCTTTAAAACAAACAGCCGATACGCATGGGTAAATATCTGAGGCATAGACACGCATATAAATACTTTATTAATTGAGCTTTGTTGGCTCGGATCCAATTAGAAGTTCATTGTGTTTTACAAACAATTAGGAAGGACATCAAACTTTAAGGTTAAAGAGTGGTCAGACCCGGAACCTTTTTGATTAGAAACACATTTTAAATGGTGCCGTTTAAGTGGTTACGTAAAACATCTCAATTATAAATTTCACAACTTTTTACTTGTGTCAATAACTCTGACTGGAATGGTGAAAATAATCTGTACTATATAATTTCAATAACAAACGAGCAGATCAAAACAGAAAACTAAACACCATGCATTAAAAAAAGAACACAAGGAACTGCCTTTTTGGAATTTATTACCCAAATTTATTCCCAACTCCAAAGAAGAACTCAGATCTTAGAATAATAGTATTAGTAATAATAATAGTAAGCAATAAACTATTTAATATTATTATAATTTGAAATAGAGTCTATTTTTAGGGTTGATGTACAATTATTGTAAAGCAGTAAGTCTTTAAGGTGTTTAATTTATGAGTATCCCGAATAAACTTCAGCTCAGCCAAACAATTCAACATTACACTGCATGCCTAAAGAAAACTTCATCTGTAAAATGTTGAAATTATAACTAGAGTCTACAGCTTTTTTAATAACTGCACAAGGATCTATACATCCTATTTATAACGCAATAAAATTGAAAGCTGCATGGACAGGTTTTAAAGAGTGTTCTTATATCAAAATTGGAAATGCCCTGTCGAGACTCAAATATACTTATTTAAGTGTAATTGATATATTATATATACTTTAATTAGTGTCGACTGGGACGCATATATCATTAAAAGAGTCAATATTAATTTATATTTTTAGGCGAAGGGCTACACTTTAATTAAACCAACCACTCAAGCTTTTGCAAGCCTTTCTAGGGAACTCAAGATTTTAAAAGTATTAAAGAAATGAAGTTTTTGGCTGCAGTTCGCAATGTGTTCTATTTAATGGAATTATAAGTGCTTAATTTATTTAATGATAAAGTTTGTCTTCGTGTTTTCGTTCGCAAAGTGGTTTGCTTTAGTTTATAGCAAACATACGACCAACTTCAAAACTTATCTAATGCCTTGACGACTCTCTTGAGGAGTGCGGACTATTCTGCCGAATGATAGCAGCGATTATAATTGCTTTATTGTCCTGTATAGTACAACTCTCACCTTCTGCCTATCCTACATCAATTAGTCATATTTAGTGGCATAATCAGCCATAGTCAAGGAAATTATGTTGATAGCTTTTCATGAAACTAACGCACTGATTGCTCATACATATTAGATTTGCTGCATACACTTCAAATTTGGTATTTATGGAAAGGAGGAGTGCAAAGAGAAGATTTCTGGAATAATTTGATATTTTAATATAGATTTCATCACTAAAATTTTATATATAGATATCTAAGTAATGCTTGAAAAACGTTTCATAAAATGCTCACCTCCCTAAAGACTCGTATATTGCTTTTCGTTTGATTTACCATATTGGATTTATTCCATAAAAAAGATGAATTGCAAACACCAATAACAAGAAGGCTTCAAAGGGTCTTTCATATCTTTAAAATACCTACGTTTTCTTCATTGAAAAATCCGACTTAAATTTGACTTAAAAACAATTTAGAATTTAAAGACCACAATTGTTTGTAAAGCCTTTCCTTTCTTTGGAAATCAAGACCAAGCCTAGACCACCAGTAGAGGTGGTACGGCAATATTCAACCCTATTTATGATTTAAGAAATGCGTCTTAATATTTCGGGTTTCTTTGGAAATGAGTTAAAATATGGGCACTAGACCCAATGCAATGCCATAAAATTAAATTTACATTTTGTTTTTACGGCCTTTTAAGCATTATTCATGCCGTGATGAGTTACTGAAGCAAGTCATACAAGTCATTGCGTCGAGTGCAATCTTTTGTAGCTTTCTTTGTTTATATTTTGACATCATCGGTCGGTGGGGCGGACGGGGCTTGGTCCCTTTTTGGGCATTAAAGTCCCTAGCCGGCAAACACCTCACTATTCAATCGTAACGAGTTATTTCATGCTCGCCTCTTCATCAGCTTGTAAAACGTTGCTCATTTATTTTGATTACCTTTTGCGAAAGCCAAACCATGGCCGCAACCATCTCTCTGTACTATCTCCATTCTACCCAACCTGTCCATTCTCAACAACCCAGGCATCGTACACCAACAACAAGAGCAACAACAGCTTTTTCTATGCATCTTCATTTTCACATTTTGTCTGTGCGCTCTCGTTTTTAATATCCTTGCCCATTTCAGCTTTATCTCAACGTTTTGCGTTTGCGTTTGCGTTCCCTTTTCATTTATTCTTTCTGGGGTTTCTTTCTTGAATTTTAGTTAGAGTTGAATCATGGCCATCAGCGTTGATGAGCTTAATTCCCCGGTGACACTTTTGTCCAACAAATTTTGT